TACACTCTCGCTTCAGTGGCCCTATTCTTATCTGTAGAAAAAATTTGGAATTCTGACTTTAATCTCTTAATCTGAGAAAAAAGTCAGTATTCCAAGATTAAAGTCAGAATTTTTCAGAAAAAAGTCAGAATTTTGAATATTTTACCATGTTAAACACAAAGAAAATAAAAAATCTGTTGTTTTTGTTTTGTTTTTCCAGTGGCCCCAATCCTATTATGTATACAGTAAGGACATTAATTTAACTGTGTGTAATTAAAGTAAAAGCTTTAAAAATACACACGCATACCACCCTTTTTTAGTATTTTATTTCCTAAAAGGTTTGGAAAACCATTTGTTATTTTTTTCCCCACTTTGTTTTAATTTATCACTTAAGATCTTGACAAAATTTGTTGAGGTTTGTGGTTGTATGGATGTAACAAAATGTAAGAAAACAAACAAAAAACTGAAAAGATTAATATTTTTGAAAGGCACTGTATGTTTGATGTGTATGTTTGCAATTTTAAAAGCGGAGCTGTTGGTTTATTTCATGTAGGTTGTTGTTGTAACAGTTTTTGATTGTGTCATTTAAAAAAAAGAAGTAACAAACCTGTAAGAACGATGTTACATTATCTTGTCCTGTTTTTTATTTATTTATTTATTTTTCCAATACTGAGACCTACAAAGATAGATTTTAAGAAGGGGGGAAATAGTGGAAATAAATAAAACAACATTAAGGTCATGTTGCTGTTTTTGTATTTTCCTCTTGTTTTTATTTTTTTGCAGGATGTGTGTGTGTGTGTGTGGGTGTGGGTGTGTACGTTTTGGTGGGTAGTAAATTTCCCCCTTCCCTCTCAATGTTGTTCATTTGAACTATTTTTTTTCCCCCAGCATCCATTTGTCTGAGTGGCATCTGTGCTTAAGATGTCAGCATTCTTTCACTGAAAACATGCTCTTTTAGTGTGAAAGTGAAACTTTAACATTTTCTGTTTTGTGAGATGGATTAAACATACATAATGAAGTGCAGTGCTGCTGCTAAGCCAATATGACCCCTTGTTTTAAGTGTTATTGATCCGAGCATAAAGCAGATGATAAAAATCTAGATAAAATGCAATCATTACTGCTCAGCACTGCTGACTGCAATATGTAGCATAAAAATTACACAGAGTGTTGCTTTGCCTGGTTGTGGCAGAACAAAATGACTTATTGAGAAGAACAATATATAAGCTGTCAGAACTGAGGTAATTGCTATAAAAACTATATGTACTGTATCTGTGCGTATGTACATGAATGAGACCATTATAAGAAAGAAACTGTGTGTTTTTCTCCACATGGATGAATGAATTTAAATATTCTGTACATATGGAAGCTAATATATGTGAACTTCTGAGTTAAATGTTTGCAAGCTTCCTGTTTCATCCGTCTCCTGGTGATAGTCCCTTTGTTGTCCTGTATATCTGTTGTACATCTGTCTGGGTGTGCAAACTTGCATGTTTATATGACCGCCTCCAAGGTTCATCGGTTTTTACTTTTGTGGCATTGCTGTAAAATTTCCCGGCAGAAAGGGATGGCAGCATTTAAAGTTTGAGGATAAATGTGAATGTATCTCTCTTGTAGGTTTTGTTGATTCACTTCATGCAGGCAGTCCAAAGTATTTGGAGAATATAGTTGTTCTTATTGCAAAAGTGTTCAGATGATAGAGCTGTGTGTTCAGAGGTTCAAACGTGTGAATAATATATATTAAAAAAAAATGTGAATAAGTACTTGCCAAAAGAATTTCTCTGTAAGACATGAGAAACTGGAAATACAGGGACCGCAGTCTGTGCTGCTTTTGAATATATGCAGTATAATAAAAGCTCTCTTCCAAATAACCCCGTGCTTTCATTTCACCACCTCAATTCTCTGAATTTTATGGGAATTGTTAATGTCTTACTGTCTTACTGAACTTAGCCACATACTGTAGAGTTTGGCCAATATTAAGGATTCATTGTAAATTATAAAAACCTCCTAAACAATTTAGAACAATTAGGTATTTCCTTCTATACACAGAATAATATCTGGTGATTTTATGCTGCATATAGAAGGTACAGAAATGACATTGAGTACGTAGGTTAAAATGACTCAAATATATTAAAAAATAGAGATGTGTTTACTCCAGGGCTTCCTCATAAAATACCTTGATTTTTATATAAACAAGGTCAAAGGTTCAACATAATTGTGTTTTTATTCTAAATTAGTTTTAAGAAATATAAAAACTGCATGATGTGAGAAGAAAAAATGTAAGTCCAATATTTTCTTTGGTGTGTTAATAATGTTGAATTTTGCTGCCACCTACTGGAAAACAGAGAAATAAACAGAAGCCTATTGCTACACTAGACAAAAATGTACACCTTCAGAAGGCTGGAAAGGGGCAACAGGAAAATTGCCAAGCAGCTGGATGAAAAAAGTTCCACTATTGGAGCAATCATTAGAAAAGGGAAGAAGCTAAACATGGCTGTCAATCTCCCTCAGACTGGGGCTCTATGCAAGGTCTCACCTTGTGGCATTGCAGCCTTCTGTTCCAACAAAAAGAAAATACAATGTTAAGAAAATGCTTAATAATAACAAAGGCCGTGGGTGGTAATAGGTTTTTGTTTTTGCACGCACTTCCAGCTTGACTTATTGTAAAAGCAAAGAAAAAATAATTACTAAAAATGTCTTGGAACTTAGTAAAAACTAAATTTAATGTTTTAAGCTCCCCAAAAAAAGTGGTCAAAAAAAATAATTTTTTAAAACCTCCTGTCCACACTAGACATTTACCACATTATCCTCCAACACCTGGTGTGCTCTTAATCACTCAAATTAATGGGAGGGTCTAACAATTAACAATTTACTCCAAACAATTCCAAATATAAAAAAATAAATAAAAAATGTTGGTTCTAAATTAACTGAAATATATTTTACATACCAACAGACAAAAACTAAATTAGTAAAAATAAGAAATTACTAAAATTTAGCATAAATGGCCAGAACAGGGGCCACAGGGAAATTGCCAAGCAGCTTGGTGAAAAAAGGTCCACTGTTGCAGCAATCATTAGAAAATGGAAGAAGCTAAACATGACTGTCAATCTCCCTCAGAATGGGGCTCCATGCAAGGTCTCACCTTGTGGGGTCCTAATGGTCCTAAGAAAGGTGAGAAATCAGCCCAGAACTAGATGGGAGGAGCTGGTCAATAACCTGAGAAGAGCTGCAATCAAGGTTGCTGATGGTAATAAACTAAGACGTCATGGTTTGAAATCATGCATGGCACGGCTTAAACCAGCACATGTTAAGGCCCGTCTTAAGTTTACCAATGACCATTTGGATGATCCAGAGGAGTGATTTGGGAAAGTCCTGTGGTAAGATGAGACCAAAATAGGAAGTTTTGGTCATAAATCCACTATCCCTGTTTGGATGAAGGAGAATGATTAGTACCATACCAAGAACATCATCCCTACTGTGAAGCATGGGGGTGGTAGCATCATGCTTTGGAGTATTTTTTTTTCTGCACATGGGAAAGGGTGACTGCACTGTTTTGAGCATTGAAAATGTGTCGAGGCTGGGTCTTCAAAAATGACAATGACCCAAAGCACACAGCCAGGATAACCAAGGAGTGGCTCTGGAAGAAGCATATCAAGGTTCTGGCGTGGCCTAGCCAGTCTCCTGACCTAAACTTAATAGAAAATCTTTGGAGGAAGCTCAAACTCCATATTTCTCAGCGACAGCCCAGAAACGTGACTGGTCTAGAGAAGATCTGTGTGGAGGAGTGGGCCAAAATCCCTCCTGCAGTGTGTGCAAACCTGGTGAAAAACTGCTGGAAACATTTGACCTCTGATATTGCAATAAAAGCCACTGTACCAAAAATAAACATTGGTTTTCTCAGGTGTTCAAATCCTCATTTGCAGCTGTGTCACAAAAATAATTTAATAATTTAAGCACTTTCAGGTTTGATAAATTGCTGAGTCTGCATTATTGGAGGTTTGGTAACAATACAGAATGAATGTAAAGTAATTTAAGTTATTCTTACATTCTGTAACTAGATTTTGTAAGATTTATAATGCAAAACATTTTTTTAAATAAGTTTGTCATTCTGCAATTACTTTCTTATGTTGATGTTATTCTTTAAAACACCAGAATTTCATATCAGTTAATATTTTTTTTACAACCTGGCATCATTTTGTAAAGTATTAAATTAGTTGTTATCATCATGGTTAGTGAGCAGATCAAATACTCTGCTTTAGTAGCCCTTTACCGAATACTGTTTTACTCCCTTGAGTCATTTGTTTAAAGGCTACGTTTTACATTTACTTGAGTAAAAAAATGACTCATATATGAGTAAAAGTATGAGTAGTGCCTCTCTTACTTAATTTCAGTTTTTATGTACTCTAAATATGACTCAGAATAAGATTATTGTAACATTTAATGCATGCAGTTTCTGGTACACCTTTACATTTGCTTTACATCTTTTTTGCACTTTAAAAAACGAAAAAGTACGGAAGAGGATTAGGGCCACTAAAAAAAAAAAAAAGTTAACTGATTTTAAAATTTTATTTCAGTTTAATATGGGAAAAAGGTCGAAATTCTGAGATTAAAGTCAGAATTCTGAGAAAAAAATTCAGAATTATGAGATTAAAGTCAGAATTCTGAGAAAAAAAAGTCAGAATTCTGAGGAAAAGTCAGAATTCTGAGATTAAAGTCAGAATTCTGAGAAAAAAGTCAGAATTCTGACTTTTTCACATATAAAACTGAAATAAAATTTATTAACTTTTTTTTTTCCCCAGTGGCCCTTATCCTCTTCCGTAAAAAAAGTCTAGAGAGCTGTACTAAACGAAATTTCTTTTTGTATACACTGTTCAAACTGAAAAAAAAAAAAAAAAAAAAAAAAAAATCTAGGTCTGTAGTGAAACGTTATCCCGCCTTTGGCCACCAGGTGGTGCACATTTGCCAACTCTTCATCTACCGTCCCGTCAATCATTTGATGTCAGAACGTAGCAGGAGGCAGCGCGCATAACCAGGAGTACTTTGGTCAGAAGGCTCGCTAAAGTAGTGCAAACCATGGGGGCTTAACCACAACAGGTCCTAGCGGTCAGAAACTTTTTTTGGGGGGCCTTGTTTTCTGTGTCTCCCTCAACATATTTTCCGCCAAAGCCGTTTTTTTTTAATTCATCTTATCGTTACATCCTGAGAGGCGCGGCTACTTCAACCGTTCGCTTCTTGTCTGAAGTTAGTTCCAGTTTGAAGCGACTTTACTTGTGGAGGAAGCGAGGCAGGATGTACCATGAAGAAACCACAATGTTGCAGAGGCCACGCTATGGAAGTAAGTAACCTGTTTTTAGCGACTTTTGGTGTTAAATAAAACTCTGACTTTGCTATGAGGAATAAAAGGCAGGCTGGAGATGTGGCTTTCTGATGAGCAGCAGGTGGTTCACCTGTGCACACAGCTGGATGTCTTTAGTCAACTTCTCTCAATGTTATACAAAGGAAGACGTGGAAAACAGCAACTATAATGAACAAATAATTCATATGTGATATATAATGTGTTTTGGTGGCAGTTTTTTCTCTAAATACACCTGAAACCTTCATACCTGTGCATTTGACAGCAGTTAGAATAGCAGCATTTACACACATAAGGCTTTTTTCTCATAAGTTATTCATTAACTTCTAAATTTCTGCTTCTATGTTAAAGTCTGCAGCTGACTTTGTCCAGCATGCAAGTTAACTGATAAGATTTTTTTTAAAGGCACAAAGTGGAGCTTTGTTAGACTGATCAATGCTCATCAATACTTTTTTTTTTCCATTTTGTTTTCCAGACTAGGATCTCTTGCACAAAGATAGTTTGTGTGATTTAGTGCAGCCCAAAGCCGGGCCTGTCATGTGCTTAAACTTTACAGCATCATTGTGGGACAAGACACTCCCAGGCGATGATGTCATTAAATATTATACTAAGTGGAGTTTATGCATTTCCTTACATAACAGTCTTTGGAGCATCCTGATCCACTCCAACCAGAAAATAAACCATTGAATTAGAGCTGTTGCTGCTAAACAAAAGTAATTGTCTGAATGGCACCACCCTGGGGAGTCAACGGCACACACAAAAGCAACAAACACATCCTGATGGTTAAATATAATGCTGAGTACAAAGAGCCTCTTCCAGGAAGTGTATGACTGAGTCAGTATAGGTTGTTAATAAAGGCAGCTGCTGCAGCCTCAGATTCACATGTTTTCATCTATGTCATCTGCACAGCTGGGTTGGCTTGCAGAGCCCTCAAAATATGCTGATTTCCGTGTAAAACCTTTCAGCCAAGTGGGCCTGTACTCGTGTGGCTTGTGTCTTTCCAAACAGGTGAGGATTATACGTCAGGCCTCTGCAGAGATCTGGTAAATTGATGTCTCTGCTGCTAGAGGTTTACAAAGTGAACCTGGACAGGAGTATTTTACTTTGTCCATCATGACATCAGCATCATTGTTGCGGATTAAAAACAAACTGACAGTAAATAGAAGGTAAAACAGGCATGCGGTGTGCAGGTTTAACCTCGGCTGCACTTGATTTAAACTGATCTGTTTTTAGGTTTTTAGGTTAAGGTAAACCAATGAGGGTCTCTCTGTTGACTTTTAGAAATGACAGCTGCTGATTTTGTCCCTTATTTTAATTTTTGGCCATTTTACCAGAACTTTTCACATTTTCTTTAAGTCTCAAACATCTCACCTTGGACTCTTTTCACATTTTGGCATAAAGTAATGTGTAATTGACAACCGGAAAGAGTAAAATGAGATGGTCATATTTACAAATACAAATTTGGAAGATAGAGATTGGCATTTATTCAATGTCAATATAGTGTTCAAAATTATTAATCAAAAATTAGCCCAACCTATTTAGATTTGATGCAGTAGAGTGGTGTGAACAGTGTATTTTAAGTTCTTTTTACATATCTCATGTGGACGAAGGTCTGAGCTTTGACTAGGCCATCCTAGCAGGCAATAAGAAATCATGACTAGATGTTGTCTTTTTAAGACATATTCCATCTTTTAAAGGGATAGTTTATCAAGTTGTAGAAAAAAAGCTACTTGTGACTAGTTTAGTCCTTTTCATATACAGTTCAGGACTGGTTTAAAATAAGGCACTTCATGTTTGGTTTAGGGTGATTTGAAGTGCTGCTCTCAATTTACACTGTGTACAGGTCTACTGTGCTGAGCTGCGGACTCTACAGAAAGTAAGCAGGCATTACAATCAATGACTGTGGACTAACTGTGTTTACATGGCGTTGGTGCAGGGTGGGCAGCTCGCTGCAAAAAATCAACTTGGTTCTAATTTGGAGGGGCGCCAGAACCAGACCTCAGTTACAACAGATAAACCCCATCATACCAACAATTACTACAATTTAGTTTATAGCTATGATATGAAACATTTCTGATACTTCAATATGCAGTCTGTAATTACATTTGTCACTGAGGGACATTCAGGTTTTTATATAGTTTTGTGTTTGTATATATTTCTAAAATATTAAATTGGAGGATTTTCATAAACATGGCAAAATAATTGGCATATGCCTGTACAGGTTTCTGTTGTGAATATTATGGGTATTGTTTGAGGCTTTTTTATTTTGAATATCGACATTAAGAAATATATTGTGATTAAGGATTTTGCCTTACCTTCCAGCCCAAATAAAGGAGTTAATGAAGCTTTTCTGCACTAAATGTAGTCACTTATTGTAGAATATAACTAGTGGAAATATCTGGATGCCAAAAAACGCAAAGTGAAGCAGTTTTAACTATTTTAAAATCAATAGTAGACGATGTTTTGGTCAGATTTTTCAGTTTATCACTGGCTTTATTGCACGATCAGCAAATGCTTCTTGGAGCTCCTCTGGGCTTTGCATCACAGTGGAGCAGGCGGAGTAGGAGGGTAGATAGGCTAAAAATTGTCACGTCAGCTGATTATTCTACCTGAACTGTTGCTCTGCAGCTCCTGCATGGTTACCATGGACCTTTTTCCTATTGACAGGCCCATCAGTGAGCTATACAGCCATGTCATTATAGGTTTTCAGCTTTAACTATTACAACCCTGACTGTAGATTAAGGATGTAAAATAGACCAAAATGGCGAAAGAAGGGGAATGCTTGTCCAGACAAGAATTATCTGGAGCAGCTGATCAGTCCTCCTTTGATTGGCCGAGACACTGACATAAATTTATTTTTCTACGATTATAAGGAGAGAGAAAAAATGTATGCATATATTTATTATTTTTCTATTTACGTTTGCTTATTAAAAGCCTCAGATCAGGACTTCATGTAATCCTCAAGACTGGTGTTTATACCAGACTGAGAAAACTCTCTTTGTCCTCTTGGAACCAGGATATAAGCTTGTGCATCCACTCAGAAGTAAAAGGATTAATTGGATTAGAGTTGAGGTAAGGTGGGATGAGGGGGAGGAGGGGATCTCATTAAGCTGCAGGTGTCGGTCAACTCCCAGCAGAAGTCACTCTTCATCCTGGCTCCCCTCCTAGGTATCTATTTGTCACTTAGTTTTTAATTACAGCATATATCTACCTAAGGTAAACCCAGTTTTACAGGGAAAGACTTTCCTAGTTTGATCTGCTTATTTGCATACATTTCTCCAATG